GGGGCTGGATGACAGCCAGGAAGCAACAGGAAGTACCAAGGATGCCTCAGTCTTCTAGCAGGCACACCTGAAGAAAGAGGACAAAAAAACAGGAACGAAAACTTAACGCTTTACCGATCAAGCGAAGAAGATTTTTTTTTTAAACTCAGTATTCTGTTTAGCTAGGAGCGCACGCGCGTTTTAACGGTCACAACCGCACAACTTTAGCAGTAGCATTCTTTCTTTTTTTAACTAAAAACGCACAGTATATGTGTTTATTTCCCAGAAGCACAGAAAATACAACATATGTCGTATGAAGTACCAGCGGGGCAGCGTCATCTCTGAGCCGGCAGCCTCCAGTAGCCGCTGCTAGCATGGAGCTCAGTATGAATATCCCTCACAGAAAAGGCGTTTGGGGAATTTTGACCCTCCATTAGACTTACAGGATCAAGTTTCTTTGGCGCGTGTCAGGAAAACGACTGATTTCGGTTGGTGTCACTCATCTAAACCCATCCGGATTTGTCCTAAATCAAAAATCAGAAACATTTACACCACTACTTTTTCCTAAAAAACCAGCCAGTGAGTCAATTACGCCTTAAAGACTAAACTCTGGGATAATTTTCCGAAGCGTATTGTGGGCTATACCATTAGACCTCCGAGGAGGGAAGTGCTATATCACCACAAATGTTTACATTCTTTTCCGTATTCTGAAATCACTGGCATGTCACTATATATTTATGTATCTTTTTAAAGTATTTTTTCATGCACACGAATGTGGTGTTTGCGTGAAAAAATAACTGTTATTTCCTATGAGTGAGTTTCATCACCCTGAGTTACCGTAGCAACAGCCCAGACTAGCTACGAGATGGACAGTCAAAACCTATTCCTGTACTTTGTTCACTGATATCAAACATATACATTTTACAATCAAACAATAACTATGGCATTATATTGTATTTATAATATATATATTATAATAATTTGATATTTGTGTGCACTTAAATAAGAATATTTCATCAGTTTTACTTCCCCTGGTTGGTGATTGGTCGCCCAGCAGCGGGGCGGACTGCCTACATTATTGTTTACTTTAGCTAGAGTCTGTAGCCGGGTTGACAAGTTATGTACAGTATCTCGTAGACTACATTCATTTTTCATATAGTTTGGCATATTTATAGTATATTTAGACTTATACTGCAATATAAGTCCGTTTTTCCGACGCTGGTGTCGCTTGAAGCTAAGGTATGTGAATAAAACGCCTGCAAAACTCCAGACTTTAGCCAGTAAACTTCTGCTTGACTTGCGAGTTAAGACGTGTTTACTGCGTGACATGTGCAATATTTCAACATCCGAGTGCATTTATCTCCCCTTTTAAGTTGCCCATCTCTTAATATCGTCGTCGTTTAACGCCACAGATGATCGAGGTGGTGGCCTCCATGGCCCGGGGCCCCGTGTTCCTGGCCGGGGAGCTCATGGAGTGCCTCATAACTTTCACCAACCCCATGTCTCATCTCTCCACCTCTGCGAGCAGGTCAGCATCTCCACCTTACTCACACAAGAGGGAGATTAGGCCAAAACAAGGAGGAGATTAGGCCAAAATCTGCAGATTTCTTCACCTAGGCTCAAACACAAGCCGAGGACAGGATGCTCCACATCCACACTAATGGGGGAAATGATGCCAATACAGATGTTTCTATTAATATTTGGCTTATTGTTGATTTCAAAGTCAAGCATCTGATTATTTTTGGTGTAAAATTCCGAGTAAAGGTTTTCCAGCTAACCCTAAATAGTTTGTTTCTCTGTTACTTTTATCATACGACGTCTTTTAACATATTAATTGTTAGGTATAATATACAGAACTGTTTGAATTTGCTTATTTCTAAGACAATTATGTGAATGATCTTTGATTATCCCTTTAACCAGAAGAAACGTCTCAAATGTGTTTTCCAAGAAAAATCTGGCTTTTTTAACTCTGAATGGTGTGAATAAATGTGGACATTTCTAGTTTCCAGGCAACAAAAAAGATGCACATGACATTGTTTTCATGTAAAACTTAAATAATATTACATTAATAAAGCCTCTAAATCACATTTTTAATGTAAATCTGTACGACATTGATAGAACAGAGTGTCGGTATGGTCAGATTCTCTCTTATCTTTTTCTGAGTCCAGGAAAAGATCAAGCAGAATAGTTATTTTTCCATTGTTTGAGCAGATTCTGGATCTTTTGGATTCTGGATCTTTTTTTCCTGTATTAAGAGGATTTTCCTTTATAATGAGGACAAGGGTAATAGTTAATTGTGATAATAATTGGGTTATTCAGTTGTTTCGTATTTCCGTTGATGCTGGAGGTGACGCTTGTCCTCTGGTGGAGCCCTGTAATGAATCTGAGCCCCGCCCCTGTTTTCTGTCCCCCAGTGAGATGCTGGCGTGGGCCAGTGCGCAGATCCACTGTCAGTTCCACGCCAGCGAGGGCCGAGTGGCTCTGCCGGCCCGGGGAAACAAGCAGGACGTCCAGGCCGAGAGCGACACCGTGCTCATCCCCAGCAGAGGTGAGCGGCTCCACCCTCAGATTAGCCCAGAATCGGGCTATAATTACTCACTTTAGCGCTTTAGTATGTCATAACGTAATCCACGTAAATCACTGATTGTCTTATTCCTTTTTAGATTTGTACTATTCC